GCCATCACACGGCTTCTCCAACAATGTGACAGGTTCGTTTTGGAAGGTCCGGTACCAACGTTTTTGGTTGTCGTGGTCAAGCCCCTTCCGTGTCTGGGCTTTCCGTTTGTGGAATAGTTGGTGTTTCGGGGCGTTACTTCAAGTTGCACGGGGACCCTTATGTGCTGGTCCCCCTCAATGCGGCCCAAGCCGACGGATTGGGAGAAGAATTAGATTTGATTTCAAACCCTTTCCCCCCCCCCCCCCTCACACACACACACACTCTCTCTCTCTCTCTCACCCTTTACTCTCCCCATCATCTTGCACCGCGTGCTGTGTCACAACAGAACGCCGCGCCAGCCTCCACAACCCAGCGCCATCACCACCATGACCACAGCAGCGCCGAAGACGATGGCGAAGACAACGACGACTCCGAGGACGAAGACGACGAGCGCACCCGCATGATGATGGCCCGCCGCAAAGCCGCGTCCAACTCGAAGGTGCGCAGTGGTGCCTGCTTTTCTGTTACAATGCATGACATGCACCATTGAGCCCGATGAGCGTCGTGGGGATTGGCGTGGTGCGCTAAACCCCACGCCCAACCCGTACGCCCAAACCGTACGCGCTTCCTTCGCACACTATGCACACGTGTTGCGCTGGGCGCACGCACTCGTGACACGCATTCACCCCCGGGCCTGTGCTGCTGCTGGTTTGTTGGTTTTATGAAACAGCGCATTGGCCTTCCACTCGGAGCCCTCATGATGAGCGATGAAGACGAAGAGGAAGAGGAGGGCGATGAAGAAGAGGAAGAGGAGGGCGAGGATGGTGATGCTGCAAAGGAGGACCTCAACAAGGCAGCCAATGACGGTGCAAACGGTGGTCACCACCACCACCACCACCACCACCACCTCAACATTGACAGTGACACTGACAGTGATGGTGATGGACACACGGGCGGCTTGTTCATGGAGCCGCCCACCCCCTTCAAAGACGTAGATGCACAGCAGCAAGACCAACAACAACAACAACAACAGCAGCAGCAGCAGCAACAACAACAACAACAACAACAACAACAACAACAACAAGGACGTGCGGACAAGAAGGAGGTAGAGGACACAACAAAGACCGAGCCCAAGTCTCCAGCGCCATCGTCCTTGCTCCGCAGCAAACCCACGCCGCCTCGGACGCTGCCCAAACCGCGGCGGTCCACGCCTTCATCCGTCACGTCCCCGCCAGCGACGCCGCCAGCCAACCAGCAGCAGGGCGCACGCCAGAACGCAAAAGCAGAACAGACACCAACACAAGCACCACAAGCACCACAGCAGACAAGCAGCGACCAACATCAAACCTCGGGCTCTAAACAAACGGCCAAGCCACCCAACAACAAGCCGCCTGCAACCAAGTCACAAGCCAGCAAAGCACAAGCAACCAAGTCTCCCATCAACAAGCCTACAACAAAGACACAAGCAGCCAACCCCACACCAAGGCCTGTCTCCAAGCCTGCAAGCAAGGGGCGCGCACTTGCTGGCGGCAGCGGGTGGAATCCGTTTGCAGACCTGAGCGAGGAAGATGCTGCGGCGGAGGCCAAGCGAAACCGGCGGCTGAGTGCGCGGGAGGCAGAGCAGCTGGAGCAGGCGCGGCAGCGGGCGTTTGAGGCGTCACTGCAGTTTGAACGCACGGTGTCGCGGGACAAGGCGCGCGAGCGGATCGAGCGGGAGGAAGCCAAGCGGCGGGCGGAGGCTGAACGGCGGCGGAAGAGGCAGGAGGCAGCGAGGCAGCGACGTATGGTGGAGGAGGAAGAGAGGAGAAGGGAGGACGCGTTCAGGCGAAGGGAAGAGGCGCGACGCGCCCGTATGGGTATGGCAGACCCGTTCACGCCAGGCATGCTGCCACCGTCAACCCCTGCCGCTGCCGCTGCTGCCGACGCAACTGCCCAACACGAGTACGACGCATTCAATCCCATTTCCACGACTGGTGGTGGTGCTGGTGGCAGTGGGCGCCACCGCGGCCTCTTTTCCCGGTCGTCCGCATCGTCGCTGGGGCAGACGGTGTCGGGCCGGCGGCTGCGGCGGCGACGCTCGTCGGTTGCGCTGCTGCCGTTCCCGCTGCCGCAGCAGGAGGACGAGATTGCGCAGTACGACAGCGACGAGGACGTGAGGGACGCAGAGGCGGTCGTGGCGGAGCTGGCGCGCGAGATCAGGGCGACGTTTGCGCCTGTGCTGTACACGGGCCAGGCATACGACCCAAACGACCCCGTGGAACGGTATGCGCGATTGCTAAAGGAGGCAAGGCAGCAGGCGAGCAAGCACGCAGCCAACCAACAGCGCGGTGATGAGAAGAATGCTAAGACCGCTGATGGTGGTGGTGGCAGCAGCGGTGAGGGGGCGCGTGGTGACACCGAGTCTCCAGCGTCCCCCAACGGGCATGCGGGGGCTGCTGCTGCTGCGAACGGCGGTGGCGATGGGCTGGACGGCGTGGACCTGTTTGCGTCACTGCGTGATGGCGTGGCGAGTCCGACAGGGGAGGAGGAGGTGCGGGTTGAGACGGGCATGCGGCGGCTGGAGCAGCAACTGCGACTGCTGCCACGCATCCTCAACCGCGCACTGGAGGAGTGCGATGACGACGATGACGAGCAAATCCAATCCGTGCAGGTGCGCTGAGTGGTAAAGGGTGTGTGTGTATGACTCTGTGTGTGTGTGTGTGTGTGTGTGTGTGTGTGTGTGTGTGTGTGTGTGTGTGTGTGATTATGCCTCTGTCTGCATGTGTGCGTGTGTGAACCTGTGTAGAGGCACATGCGCGCAAACTTTATGGTCTTCCACAGTGCCACTGGCACAAGCAGACGCCGCGACTCGTTTCAACCAACCAACCAACCAACCAACTGCTTGCAGGCACGTGTGCAAGAGATTCGGGAAAAGTACAAAACAAAGCTTGAAGAGAGCAACGAGCGCTTGAAGAAGCTTGGTGCCATGCCACACGACCTGTCGGAGTTCAACTTTGGTAATACACGTGCTGCGCTGTTGTTCTCGCTCTTTGTTGTTGTTGTTGTTGCTGCTGCTGCTGCTGCTGCTGCTGCTGTTGTTGTGTTGCTTTGCGTTGTGATGCTGAATTGCACACGTGCTAAACGACACGGCTCGATTCAACCGAGCAGCTGACGACTGTGCCCTGTGCCCTTCCTCGCCATCGTTCCTTCCACTCACTGCTGCTGCTGCTGATGTCTGTAGGGGGACAAGGACAACAGCCGAAAGGGAGGCCGACAACAGCTAAAGCAGCGGCATCCTTCATCAACATGGCTGATGACGATGCACATGGTGGGTGGTCGTGCACGTACCACATGCTGCTGTTGTTTGTTTCGTTTGTTTTTGCAATCACTTGCCACGGCTTACCCAACACAACAGCTGCCACGCATTTTGCACCTTCCTGTCTCCACCCAACCCTAACACACATGCACACGTGTACGTACACACATGCACGCACGTACAGATGAGAACTTCAACATTCTCTCCACCATGGGGCTGCTGAGCACCCGCACGGCCAACCCGTTTGCAGACACGGAGTCAGACGCGACGTCGTCATCATCGCCACCATCGTCGTCGCCCCACCGCCGGCACCAGCAGCGGCAAACACCTTCATCCAGCACAAAGGCAAAGCGCAGCAGTCCTGGTGACCACGCCGCAGACCCAGCGAAGCGACTCAGGTGTGTGTGTGTGTGTGTGTGTGTGTGTCTGTGCCTGTGTGTGTGCGTGTGTATGTGTGTGTCCGTGTGCCTGTCTGTGTGTATGTGTGTGTCCGTGTGCCTGTCTGTGTGTATGTGTGTGTCCGTGTGCCTGTCTGTGTGTATGTCGGTGTCCGTGTGCCTGTATGTGTGTCTGTCTGTCTCTATCTCTTTCTGTCGCTCTGCCTCTCTGCCTCTCTGTGTCTCAACATCTCCGTTGTCTCTCCGTCCACCAGTCAATTCAATCGGCACCCTGCAGTCAGTTTCCAACTGCTGCACGTGTGTGCTCTTACTCACCCGCCCCACACCCACACTTCCCACTTCCCACTTCCCCGTCACATTCTCGTCATTGCAGTGCGCTGCTGGATGAGCTGGACATGCTGCACTCGGACACCGCCGTCGCCGTCACGGACACACACGTCTGGACAGCTGGCGATGGCAGCACGTTCACAGATTACGAGGTGCGGCTTGTGTACTGTGTGGTTGCGTTTGCCTGCTTACCTTACTTGCTTGTCAAGCGTGATTGGCCATCAACACTTCAGGTGTTGCAGGTCGCACATTCACTCGCGCTTGGAATGCGTGAAGCATTCGCTTGCCACGTCAACACTCCCCTCTCGCCCTGCCTACACGACATCAACACAACCTCCACTTTCAACCCGCCCTTTCACGACCCAAATCCCTCACCTCCCCTTGCCTTCCCCTCCACCTCCTTCGCCCCACCCCTTGCCTTGTGCAGCTGACGTTCGTAACCGATGAGTCGTGCTTCCCCGTCTCCAAGTCTGTTGTCCGCCGCGTGTATGCGGAGATGGAGTGGCTCGCGTCCCAGCTTGAGGAGAGCACGGGCTTCCCGCTGCCAACGCCGCTGCCGCCACCAGACAGCAGCAGCGACACCTTTGCCGAGTTCTTCACCTCCCTCGCACGTGGTGATGACTACCAACTGGACCCGGCCCTGCACCGCTTCTTCTTCGCCCCGGACGAGCCTGTTGCTCCAGACCTCCTCCCGTCCACCTTCACCGTCGACTTTGACGACACGGATCGCGACGACCTTGCCTCCCTCCCCATCTCCTATCTCCGCGCCATCGCTGCTTCAATTGACGCGAGTACGCGAGGGTGTGTGACGAGTTTCGAGTTCGCAGACCGGATTCTCGCCAGGCACGCGGGCCTGGACGAGGAAGAGGCCGTGCCGCTCGCCGTGGAGGAGGATGAGGATGCCGCGGGCCAGGGGTTCAAGGGGGTTCACCAGGTGGAGGAGGACCTGTTTGACAGCCTGGCGAGCACGCGCGCAAAGGAGAGGCGCCGGTCGAAGCAGGCCCAGGGCGCAGCAGCCGCACGGGGCACAAAGGCGGTGAAGGTGAAGCCAGCAGAAGCAGCGAAGACAGGAGACAAGAAGGGTAAGAAGGGTAAGCAGGGTAAGAAGCAACAGCAACAACAGCAACAACAACAGCAACAACAGCAAGAAGGCCAGCGAGCAGGTGGCACAACAGCATCAAAGGGTGCACCTTCTGCTGCTGTTGTAGCTGCTGCTTCAAACAAGAAATCGACAGCGACAACGACCATCACCGTCACGGAGAGCAAACAGAAGGATGAAAGTGGTGCGACAGAACACAAACAACAGCAACCAGAGAAGGACCAACAGCAACAGCAAGAGGCACGACAAGCAACGCCCTCACCAACGCAGCAGTCGGCACCTCAGCTGTGCCAGAAGGATGAAAGCGGAGCCATTGTCCTGCCCGTCACGGTTCCGGCGTTCCTGTCCGCTCTTGGTCTGAGCGCACACGTGGACACGTTCCTGCAGGCCGGGTTTGACGACCTGCGTGTGGTTGTTTGCATGCAGGCACAGGAGCTTGAGGAAGTTGGCGTGAGCGACCCCAAGGACGTGGGCACCATCCTGCGTGCAGGCATGGAGTGGCAGACGCACGCGGCCAATGCGCTGCTGCTGAACAACTGGCAGCGGACGCAGCTGCGCGCAAAGGACAAGGACGGGATGCTTCCGCTCACGAGCGACGACCAGAAGGCAGCAGAGGAGAAGCGGCAGGCAGTGGCCAAACGCGTGGCTGCTGGCAGTCGCAGTGGTAGCACAAGTGTGCTGGCTGGTGTTGGAGGAGGCGGTGGTGGCACGAACACATCCGACACCACGACAAGCGGTGGTAGTGTTGTTGGTGTTGGTGGTGGTGGGAAGAGCAGCGCACCAAAGTACCGTGTGGAGGGCAACTTCCTTGTTGATGAGTACGGAAACATCGACCTCAAGGCCGGTGACGAGGAGGTGAAGATCAAGTTTGCGAGCTCGAGTGAGTGGGACCCGACGCCGCTGCTGAAAGTGCTGTACGAGAGCCCGCGCCCGGAGGAGCGCAGTGGCGGGAGCGGCGATGGCGATGGCGGCAGCAGCAGCAGCGACAC